GCGCTGTATTTCCCCATTACACACCCACCACAGGGCTGAAGCCACGTCCACCTGAAGGCACGGCCTGCCAAGATGTCCGAAGTCCGACGAAGAAAACATCCGTAGCGCAGAGACGAATGGCTGACAAGGCGCGAGCCATTTCGCTGGTATCATGCCGTCGGTGTATGCCCCTGCATTAAGCAACCGCGCTCGAGAAAGGTAAGTACGTGTGCTCAGGCAGTCAAAGTACCGTATCGAAGCCTGTCTGTGCGAGTGCGAGTTGCTGCATCGTTGTGTGAGTGATGAAGCGACGATTACGACAGTCGTCACCTCTGCAGATTTGACTCTCCCTGCCCGGCCGGCTCTCTTTCATTTTTTTTTCCTCTTTGGGGATATTCTTTTCTATCTGGCTCGCCGTCCGTGTCAGCAATCAGCATTCAACTCTGTCGTTGGCTGTGCAGCACAAAGTCTCGCGTCTGTCGTCACATTGTCATCTCTCACTCCTATTCTCTCCTCTTTCCCACACCAAGCACCGACCTCATCTACGTAGTCACCTCCACCCAGTCACTGGGTATCGCTCTGAATCACACCCTCTTTCTGTCACAATTGATTCACCAGTCAACGCTACCAAGCGTGTGGCGCACCACCCCAACGATCGGTACCTTGCATCACCTATCAGCCCGCCAGTTGGCGCATCCCCAACACCCAGGTACTAAGTGGAAGGCTAGAGCACCCGTTCCACGCCAAAGCCTCGATATACCAGCCATGGGCAGGAAGCAGCAGTGATTAATACCCCCCTCGACAGAATTCTCCTGGATATTCACCATCTGTGCCCGACCGATAAGTCTGCTCAGTGGCTTGGCTACACGTTGCGCCGTTTGAAATCACCAAACGCCAACTTTCACCACTACCCACTACTGTGAAATCTTGCCATCTTTTCTCAGCCAAACGCGCCTGCCGGGACCTGACAAAGACGGCCGCCTCTTTGCCGGCGCGCATATCACCCATTATGGGGTACGATTATGCACTCGTGTGAGTGTCCCCTTGGCATGCTCGTCGTGGGAACCCGTGGTGGAAAGCTCACAGTTCTAGCCACCTCTTCTGGACAGTGCCGCCTGCCACCCTCTTGACCGTTCTGGTGTACCCATTCTTAACACGCGTCGACGCGGCAAAACTGTGCTTTATCATCACGGTTGCCGTTGTGGCCACCATTCCCTGGGACTCTTATCTGATTCGCACCAACATCTGGAACTATCCGCCCGATGCAGTCCTCGGCTACTCCCTCTTTGACATCCCCGCCGAGGAGCTTTTCTTCTTTGTCATCCAGACCTATCTCACAGCACAGCTGTATATCCTCTTCAACAAGCCTGTGCTGCACGCCCAGTATCTCAGTGCACCCTGGGCTGTCCCTGCCGGCATTCGAAGGGCCAAGGTGGCCGGGCAGCTCTTCCTCGCAGCCGCCATTGTCTACGGCTGTCATCTCATCTCAGGACGTGCCGAAGGTACCTACCTAGGCCTGATCCTGGCATGGGCTGCCCCCTTTGCCCTCTTGACGTGGTCCATCACCGCCCATTTCATACTCGCCTGCCATGGACTTCGACCCTGCTTCCCATTGTCGCCCGACAG